TCTTTTATATGGTTTTAACATGTATTAATTTTGTAGGATGGAATATCATATCGACAACGATCTGAGGGCTCATTCGGGAAAAGTTACGACGTATTGTAACTTTTCCAGCTATGCGACAGTACTTGAGGGGCTGGACGAGGAGCATATTGACTTACTCCGTCGATCGTTTTTATGGTCGTTCTATCCGTTGAAGGACGTGCAGTTCTCTGGACAAATTGTTGATTCTTTATTACTCCGGCTGTTTAAATCAGTCGATGGCGATCAGTTATATTTTGCTATTGGGGACGGGAAGGTATGTAGATTCTCGATCCTTGAATTTGCCCTGATTACGGGCTTGAGATGTACCGGGGAAGAAGAAGTTAGAGCCCGTATTATACGAAATAAAAGGTTATTGGATTTATATTTTGGAGGTAAAGGGCCAGTTACACCACCACAGTTAGAGGACGCATTTAAGAAACGCGATCACATGTTAGACAAGTTGAAGTTAGGGTTGGTGTATATACTGGAGAGTATATTAAGGTGTCGACATCGTAGGACGTCGATTGATGTTTTTTCATTGGATGTTGTTGATGATATCGATGCTTTCAACAGCTTTCCATGGGGTCAGAGATGTTACACCGATACTCTCCATGTATTCAGAAGGGTACACACTATGCCGAAATCGGAAAGGGGCGATCGCAAATATGATGTATATGGCTTTTGCATGGCTTTACAGGTAAATATTCAGTGTAACGTAATGCGTGTTGAACTTTTTTATTAAATGTATATGTAAAATTTTATTTTGTAATTGTTGCAGTTGTGGGCATATGAGGCTATCATTGCTTTGGGTAGCAAATTGGCGATCAGAAGGGAGACCAGCTGCCCACGAATGCTTCATTGGCGAGCACATGAAAAGCCATCGGCTAAAGATTTGACAGTTATCCTCGACGATCCTCAGGTGAGTATTATACATTTGCAATTTATATTGTACATACATTTACTCGGGTCGATACATGTTCGTTAACACGTTGAAATATGGTATGTCAGCTCGAAGTTCATGCTGAGTTGGTTGTCTCGGTGGAAGAGGAGGATGCAATATATGTACGTGAATTACTTGTTCCCCCTACTGAAGACGATCCAGTATTTGAGTTCGTTCCGGATAGAAATATAGTACGTTTATTTAAGTTCATTATTTATTTTGACTTATAAATTCATGTGTGGATTATTAATATTAATTGTCTTCTCTGTGTAGGAGCGCCATCCGGAACTTCCACTTAGGAGATCTCCTTCGCCTCCACCGATGAGATCTCCATCACCTCCACCGATGAGATCGCCTCTACCGTCATTATCTCATTCTCCGAGAATATCTCCGTCTCCCGTACCCACCCACCTCCCACATGGATCGCCTACACCCAGTCAGACCCGTCATTCAGATGATTTCTTTGCACGCATGACTGGCATTATTAGAGAGGAGCTGGGAATGATGCGCCGTGATTTTATGACAGAGGTAGTCGCATTACGAGGAGAGATAGGGGTATTGCGACGGGATTTTACGACAGAGATCGTCGCAGTACGAGAGGAGATAGGGGTGCTGC